ATAATAAGCGGAAGTCTTAGCATTAAATAAAACTGAATAGCAAGCGGAAAGTTCAACAAATCCTCTACCCAAGACTGGTGTCACTGTACTCACGGACTGCTAAGAATACTAAATACAACATCTGAATGAAAGCATAAACTGTTTTTCTCGAACATAATGAGATAACAGACTAAAGAGAGGCTAAAGGAGACGCCGGGCTTGCGGACGTCTGCAAGGCTACCTCGGGTCTCGCTGGACTGAAGGCCTGCTCCCGCACTAATGCTGCTGCTGCACGAAACCTGGATCTGTGCAAAATAGCACAGAGTGTAGCATCAGCACAACCGACCTCATGTGCTGGCAAGTGTCTAGCCCAACCCCGACGAAGTAGTGAGGAGGCTAGACCAGACTACCACATAAACCTGCGCAATCCAACTATATACATACCACAGAAAGAAATACAGGAAATAAACGGTCAATAAAGGAAATGGGAAACATGCGGTGGGGAGACAACAGTTACAAACAGGAAATCTCAATATAAAGATAGAAGTAGCCAAGAGAATTTACAGCGAACAACGAAACAAATATCCGAAATAAACACACTTGTATCAGCAATTGTTGGGGCGCGCAACCTGATCCCAGTATATATCAATACTATTGCGGCATGCAACCCGATCCACAATGTCATTGTTGCGGCGTGCAACCCAACCCTCAAATATCACTGTTGCAGCGTGCAACCCGACCCATATCATTTAGCATTGTTGCAGCGTGCAACCCGATCCTCAAATATCATTATTGCGGCGTGCAACCCGATCCTCAAATATCATTGTTGCGGCGTGCAACCCGACCCATATCATTTAACATTGTTGCGACGTGCAACCCGATCCTCAAATATCATTGTTGCGACGTGCAACCCGATCCATATCATCTATCCTCGTTGCGGCGTGCAACCCGATCCATATATATATCACTCTACCTCACCCAACAACAGCCACAAATAAGGAGCAAAGAAGTAAACAAATAGTGGAGGAGATCCCGGCAAGGGAATACAATAAAACAGTTGAATCCCGGCAAGGGAACAATATCAAGAAACTCAATATCTCGGCAAGGGAGAAGAAAAAAAAAACAATAAAAAATCAACAAAACGTCCCGGCAAGGGAATAACTTAATAACTCATTCTCTTCTTTCACTTTCATCTCATAATTCGCATTATCACTTGAGCCAATGCTCCACGAAGTTTCAAGATCACAATTTCTTTCACAAGGTCTTTACAGCATATATAAGTCATCAATTAAGCATGGAAGGCATATCAACAACCAAACTATTCGCAAAGTAAGGACTCACGGTCATGCTAGACACCAATGTATAGATACTCATCAACATGCCTATACATCGTACTCGACAATTAGCAAGCATCAAATACGACTCAACTCCTATTCCCTCAAACTAGGGTTAAACCAAACACTTACCTCGATGCCTTGAATTCTACTCAAACCTCAACAATCGCTTTACCTCGCGATTCCACCTCCAATCCGCTCGAATCTAGCCACAAATTACTTAATTACTTTAATAAACACTAAATGAATCAATTTGAATGCATAAAAATGAATTTCCCAAGTTTTTTCCAAAAATTCCAAAACCGCCCCCGGGCCCACGTGGTCAAAACCCGAGGTTCGAACCAAAACCCGATTACCCATTACCCCACGAACTCAAATATGTAATTTGTTTTGAAATCGGACCTCAAATTGAGGTCCAAATCCCTAATTTTTAGAAAACCTATGTTCTATCCAAAAACCACCCAATTTCACCCATGAAAATCATTGATTTTAAGGGGAAAACATGTTAAATGATGTTAATGATTGAAAGAATTGAGTAAAAATCGACTTACAATTGATTTGGAATGAAACTTGTTCTTGAAAAATCGTCCAAGGAGTTGTATTTTGAAAGTGGGGTGAAAAATGACTTAAAATTCGACTAAGTATGAAATTGCTGGGTCTCTGATGTCGCATTTGCGAACTGGGGTTCGCAATTGCGAACCTCAACCAAAATATGGGAATTGCGAACTCTGCTTCGCATTTGCGAAGCCAAGCCTTACAGGGGACCTTCGCATTTGCGAAGAAGGTCTCGCATTTGCGAACCCTGTACCTTCGCATTTGCGATGAAAGATATCGCATTTGCGATCATAGTCAGGCCTGGGCTGGTTTCGCATTTGCGAACCAGCCTTCGCATTTGCGAAAATGCGAAGCCTGCAGGCCTGTTCATACCAGATTTTTCCTAAGTTAAAAAAATGCACTCCGACGCCTATCCAAAACTCACCCGAGCCCTCGGGGCTCCAAACTAAATATACGCACAACCTCAAAAACATCCTGCGGACTTACCCGCGTGATCAAATCGACAAAATAACATCATATACATCGAATTAAACCTCAAAATTCATAATTTCCTCCAAGTTTTCTTAAAACATCAAATTTCCACTTTAAGTCTGAAACACGTCATACGATGTCCAATTTCAACCAAACTTTACAGAAAGCGCTTAAACCATATATAAGACTTGTACTGGGCGCCGGAACAAAAATACGGGCCCGATACCACAGTCTTTTAATCCAATTTCATTTTCATTTTCCTTAATCATTTTCAGAAAACAATTTCACACAAAAATTTATTTCTCGGGCGGTCGCGGTGGACTTTTGTCCAGTCATTTTCTTTTGCTCTTTGTGTTCGGGTACTTCTTGAGTGGGTGTTTTCTTCACATTATTGCCTCCAAACGTTTCATGTTGCTTTTTCACATATAATATTCTCTGCGAAACCAAATAACATTATTTAAAGCATTTAATTGGCAATTTACCTTATAAAACAACAACAAAGCATGAGCAATTAAGGTGTAAATATCAACTATATAGCCTACTATCAGTTCTCTATAACAGCACGCCTCGCTATAACATCCAAACATATTCGGAACAAACGAGGCTGTTATAGAGAGGTTTGACTGTACTATACTAAAGATGTTTTGTCAACATAGAAAACGTGTTAAAATAGCACGAGCTAGCCAGTTTTCGAACTAGTAATTGAAAAATAGCCAGCGTTTGTAAAGTCGTTGAAAAATAGTTACTATTTTATTACAACACAGAAAGTTTCAGCATAATATACCGGACTAGTATATTATGTTGGAATTCCATTATGTTATATTGGAACTATACTAGAAGTTCACGTGTGAAAAATTCGAACTCCAGTATATTATGCTAGAGTATTTTTCGAATTTTGAACAGTGTTTTCGTTCAATTTCGATTACTTTTGAAACCGTGACTATTTTTAAATTACCACTAGTAAATCTGGCTGTTTTTGAATTTCTCCCAGAAAACATAAATCTAATGGGTTGTTGCAAGTATAAGCTAAACTGGTTAATAAGTTATTCTAATCACTAACTAAAAAATAAAAGTAATAAACGAAATAAATAAATGAAATTAAGAGAGAAAAATTTTCCGACTTACTTATAGAGGGTGTTTGGCTAGGCTTATAAGCTGGTCAAACTAGCTTACAAGCACTTTTCATCTTATCTACGCGTTTGGTAAAGTTAAAAGTGCTTATAAGTTAATAAGTCAAAAGCCATAAGTTGGTCACCCCCAACTTATGAATTTTTAGCTTATAAGCACTTTAACTTTGGCCAAGTTTTTTACTATTTTATCCTTAAAATATTTTTTTTTAGAACAAAACTCCTACATCGATACTCACTGCCTCAAGTATTCAACCTAAACCCCCCCTCCCCTCCCCTCCCCAACCTCTTTAAGATTGCAATTCTCATTGGCTATTTATCTTTTGCATATTTATATCTATGTGATTGTGCATATCAAATTTTTGGTGTATTGCTTTCTAAGTATTTTGGTGATGAAGACAATGTTTGTTTCTCTTCAAATAATTTATCCTATTTTGGTTTATTTTTTATTGAGAATCCTTTGTCAATTTATCAATTATTATAACTTATGATTACATGCTTATCATAAAATAAATATATAATCATAACAATTATCTTATCTAAGCACAATTGTATTTAAAATAAAATGACAAATAGAATATTTTTTATTTGAATTGATATGGAGTCAAAATTTTTGAAGAAATTACGCCCTTATAAGTGTAAACAGTTTTAAGTTTATTTAAGTTATTTAACAGAAAAAGAGTTTATCAACACCTTTTTTATCAAATATTGCAATAACTTATTATCAATTTCAGTACTTGTACCCAAACACGTAATTGCTTATTTATTAAATCAGTTTCAGCACTTAAAAGTGCTTTTCAACACCTAATGCTTATCAACTACTTCAAATCAGCTATCCAAACACGCTCATAGAGTAGTTGTTTTAGAGGTCATTATATTAGATTAATCTATATTGCTGCAAATGTTGTTTAATTGTTTTGACGAGATGGATCGTGATTATTCATGACAAAAACCTTTATATAATAACTTTAGATTTACTTTATTCTTTTCCTTCAAAGTATAGGATTTACCTAAACATTACGTCTTCTAATTCACACCTTTATTTACACAAAACAAAATGCTATTGGAGATATTCTAATATCCATGTTAAGTTTCGACCCAAAAAAAGTACTACTGGAGATAGGTTTTTAGACTTTAGTAATAACCAGGAGCTAAGTATTTAGGCTAAGTACGAAATTGGTGGGATAAACAGGAATTAGGAATAATTATCTCTTTTATTTCTTCCTCTAGATTTTCTCTTTTGCCAAAAAAGTTGGCGCGAACTTGCAAAACGAAAAGCTATCGCAAACAAATTTAGGAAAACTCAAATTTCCCGCTCGCGGTTTTTTCTCTCATCAAGCAAATCACCAAGTACAACTACGTGGCATTACATCATTGGCTATTCGCATTAGCCAAGGATCACTGTCCTGTCCCCATTTTCTTAACCGTGAGATCACATTGTAAAGAACAATCCGCTTCGTTAAATACAACACTCCTCACGCGGATTGCCAGCGTGGCAATCTCATCTCATCCCTATAAATAATTAAACTCCCCATTTCCTTCCTCACTCAACACTCAAATCTCAGTCCGAAAGCTTACATTTTTCCTATTACTTCTCTGTATTCAAGCTTTGTTAACAGTTCATTCACAGCAATGGAAGCCGCAGCAACCAAGACAACAAAAGGTGCCGGAGGAAGGAAAGGAGGAGGCCCAAGAAAGAAGTCTGTAACCAAATCAGTCAAAGCTGGACTTCAGTTCCCAGTTGGTCGTATTGCTCGTTTCCTAAAGAAGGGTCGTTATGCTCAGCGTGTTGGAACTGGTGCTCCAATTTACCTCGCTGCTGTTCTTGAATACCTTGCTGCTGAGGTACACAAATTTTCTTCTTAGATCCCTAGTTTTCTGTTAATCACTCTATGGCTAGTGACGTTGTATTGACTTTTTGAATTTCTTTTGTGTGGCTACAGGTGTTGGAGTTGGCTGGAAACGCGGCGAGAGATAACAAGAAGAGTAGGATTATTCCTAGGCATGTGCTGTTGGCAGTGAGGAATGATGAAGAGTTGGGGAAATTGCTGAGTGGAGTTACCATTGCAAGTGGAGGTGTTCTTCCAAACATTAACCCAGTCTTGTTGCCTAAGAAATCTGGTGCAGCCGAGGAGAAGGCATCTACGCCCAAGGCTACCAAGTCGCCAAAGAAGGCATAGGACTATCTATTGGAATTGATCTTTTGGTTAAATATGGTGGGCCAGTCTTTTGTCTAGTTTATTGGTACTACTTCTTGTAGTAGGACGTAGATTATTAGTTTTCTAATTTCGGTGTAATGGCGCTTGGAAATATAATAGAAAGCAACTCTTTTTCCTATCAATTTTTGCTAGTTTGCAGAAAGTTTTGCTATTTGTGGGATTTCTGATTATGTTTCTCTTTTGCTTTTATATCCATAATGTGCATTGCTATAATGGTATAAATAAAAATTGAAACCTATAGAAAAAGATAGAATCGGAGGAAAGGTTGCAAAAGGAGAAGCTTGTATTGGACCTTGTTAAGTGGGCCAGAAATTTTGCTAGAAACACTTGGCCCAGAAGCAAGAATTCCAATTCTAGGTTCTTCAGCCAAGTTGGTAAATTGTAAGATGCAGCGAAGCAACATTTTGGCAAAAGAGTATCTATTGTGCATTAATGACCTATTTGTATGCATTAGAGGATAGCATCAAATAACGGTAGGAAAACTTGCTTCAATTTGTCTTATAGCCTAGGCTACCGCTAGATAAAGGCTATTTTATTAGTGTAAATCTGCTATTGCTCTTTTATTATAGCAGTAGCTTAATTGGTCGATTTTTTTTTTTTTTTATATATATATATATATATATATATATATATATATATATATATATATATAACTTTTATGAACATTCATGCTATCCATAGCATTGACTTATTGCAGGAAAGTATGTCTCTGTTGCAGTCATTATGTAACATTGCCATGGACAATGAAAGTTCAACTTCCTCGTCGCATTTCTTCCCTTGGATGCATTGATTCTGGAGACGGTAAGAAATCTAAACACTGTTGTTTTCTGGAGATGGTAAGAAATCTAAACACTGTAGGTGTTTAATATTGCCAATGCAGCATCTGTTGTTGTCTTGCCCTCCTGCTGTAGTTAATATGTTGTTTTCAAGGAGTATGGTTGTGCTCATATAGTTATTTTCAAGGTTCAAATTGTTCATCCAAAGGGAAGGTCACTGGCAGAGAAGTGTTAATTGGATCATCTTCCTGTCATTAGTTACACAAAGCAGATTTATTTTGTCCTATTTAGCTTGTATTACAGATCGGCTGTTTAATAATTGCACTCACTTCCTTTTATATGTGGATTTGCCATTTTATTTTGAATGTTCATCGAATTGTTTTGAAGTCTAAACATTCGAGGAATAGTCTGCATCTGGTCTGATGTTTACCATAGCTTACTGCATGAGGTAAAAATAGTCTGGGATGATTGCCATCCAGACCTAGTTGTTTCTCATTCTCTGGAAGTAAGCGTAGGTGTGAAATGGGAAGCTGAATTGTTTGTATGCTGATTGTTTTTGTAGTGATTAGTATCTGATGTTCTTTCTTGGACATTGAAATTTGAAGAATATTTTTTATGAAGCCATGAGCATGAGTCAGTATGCTAAGGTAGCTTGTCCATATAATCTCTCTACTCATCTGCACTCAATTCACATGCTTGTCACTATCCATAGTCTTCCTTGTATAAATGAGCCAAAATACATTTGTGAAAGATAATGTTACCATGAAAAATGACCATGTACTTTAGGAGGCAGTGGTCAATACTGGTTTATAACCAGCTGCAAAACATTGCACTTGAAGCAAAGCTTCATCCTGGGAATGACTGGTCAGTATAGGTTGGCCGTTATCCCCTCAAAATAGTTTTACAGCCAACATTGCCTTCTGGGATTCTGGTTCATAACTATCTGCATAAATTCTGTGTCATAGATCGTATGTGTATGGCCTTGATAATAAAATGAACCTGGAGGAACATGGACTGCTCTGAGACCTATATCTTCAGTTTGATTAAGTGTCTGCATCTGCAAAGATAAATCTTTATTATCCTTTCTCACTATTTTCTTTTCCTCAAATCCACACTTCCTCATTTATGAGTCTGGTCTAATGCCTAATGAAAAACTACATGAGCCACACTTCTCTTTCAAGATTGCATATGAGTAACTGATGTAACTCCAGCTGCAAACGACTTGGTGCTATTGATTCAATAATGCTATTTCCCGCATGTCTAAGGGATTGATACTAAGTAGTGCCGGTTTTAATCCTCTGATTCTGCTGCACATCATTGATATAATGGGTGACTATTGAAAAGCCATTACAAGTTTTGATGATACCTAATAAGAGCCAATTATCACACTGCACCTTGACAGTGATTCCAGAGGAGGCTAATCCTGATATGACCATTATGTATTCTTTCTTTGTAGTAATTGGCTGTGGGATTTACTTTCCAAAGAAACAGGTTTGCAATCCCAACCAAAATGACGTTAATTGCCAAACTGTTTTAAGACATCGAAGGAGAAATCTCCTAGAGAACTATAGTAGTGTGCATGTTCTGTATCTATATTCTATACAATGTATATATATTTTTGATTGCAGACAGGCACTTGTTTTACTATGCTCATGATGCATCTAAATACCAATCTTGCAAGGTATCAAGTTGAATTAGTTGGCCTACACTTAATCATCTAGTTAGTTACTACTATTTAGTATTACTAAATCTATTAACCGGTAGTTAGTTAAAGTGAAACAAATCCTATAAATAGTGCCATGCAATACAATATTGAACATGAATGAAGTATTTTTCTCTCTTATTTCTATCCTTGTTCTTCCCACATTAGAGCTAATACTTTGAGTTCTTTTGCAGACTCCAAGGTTAGTTAAAGACTCTACTCGAGCTTTCTTGAGTTCCTGTATTACGTATCAATTGGCATCGGAGCTATTTGCTCTCGGACCGTTGAGTAATCTTGCTCCTATGATTCAACAACGGAAGAGATAAAAGTTCTCTTGCATAGAGTGCTCGAAAAGGTCTCTCATATCAATGCCATGTATAATGGAATGGAGAGGATATTGAATGCAACTATGGTTTGCATTTCCAGGCAAAGTTTCATTTGTGTTGAGGCTGTAGTTGAAGAGTCAAAGCTATCTAACATTGAAGAAATTCCAGGAGGTGACAATGGTGACCGTTGCCATTCAACAAAAAATGAGTTAACCATTTCAAGCACTACTTCCTCTTAAGCTACAATTTTAGATAAAAAATTGATCCACTGTCATCATCAACATTGAAAACAATGAACGGATGCTGCAATGTGTCAGACCTGTTCTTTCCATGTCTTCAATTTATTTCTTCAATAAACAATATCACTAACTCACCTATTCCTCAATACTTTAATGAGCAATAAAAATGCATGAAGAGGAACACCACACATAAGGTGTGTACAACTGCAGATTATTTAGACAGTGACTCTAATGGAAGGAACTCTGCATTTGAAACTCTTGAAGACATGTACCTTGACGTACTTTTCATGGAAATGTAAGTGAAGCACTTCAATTCGAGGTTTTAGAAGATCTGTCTTGTAAGTTTTTCTTGGAAATGTAGAAGATTGAGGCCTTGGAAGACCCATCTCTTGTTTCACTCTACAGTATTGATGAAGATGCAAACCATTTATGATACTTTAAACTGGAATCACAGGCATGGAAATACTTCAAATTGGAGACAATGACGGTTCTTGCTAGAGCCACATATGTGTTGTATTTGACCGGATTATTGTATTTTAGTTATCTGGGCAAACCAAAAATTGTGATCTTCCCATTTAGAATATTGATCAGTGAAGAGGGAAATTGGAAAGTTGTATACTAGCTTCCTTGCGGAGATATTCCACTCTTTGCATATGTTATGAGAAGAAATGAAGCAAATATATTTTGTGGGATGACGGGATCTTTGGATATAGATTGTGATAGGAGACCACCATTTGAGCTATTAATCTCCTCTTTATGATCAACTCCAATTGTTTGGAGTCTCTTCAAGTCTTGCTATTGCTATTCCCCTTTTTGTTTTCTTTCCTCATCTCTTTCCTTCTGCTGTTAGAGCTACGACTTTGAGTTATTCCGCGAACTGCTAGCTTTGGTACAGCCTCTACTTGAGCTCTCTTGTGTTACTGTATTGCATAGCAGGTGTCCCTTGGTTCAAAATGCACAGTTCAAGGGACGCCATTTGGGTGTTTTTTTAATGCAAAGACTGCTCTATGCTATTGACGTAGTTACTAAAATTCAGTATGTATCGCGTTTCTCCTAGAGAGTGGACTGGAAAATTTTATTAGCCATGGTTGAGATGCCCAACTAAAATGAAAACTAGTTGGACTTACAGTCACTATATAATCAACGGGGTTTAAGCCGCGATCTGTTTAATTCCCTGTGGTTGCTTGCTTAGCCGTGATACCGGCACTTTTTGTTGTCATTTGTGGTTTCTAATTTAGCTACCATATTACTTTATATTAAATTTGGTATTGAATAGCTGTATGTATTAGCAATACCTAGATAAAAATATGTTTATGACATAAATTTAATTGTTTGTTTATTCATCCGTTTCACTTGGTCTTTCATTTGTTTGCAACAATATTTCTAGTATTTAATTTTATAAGTTTAAGAAGAGAGAATTTATATGCATACTATCAGCCGAAAAACAGAGTTAGTTGAACCCATTAAATATATATGTTAGGACAATACCAAAGATCATACTGAGAAATTTTAGGAGTCGTTTGACACAATGGTGAAATATCTCAGGATATCCCATGGAATTAGTAATCCCACGGGATAACTAATCCCACCATTTTAGTATAAAAGTTATCCCGGAATTAGCTAATACCCCAAACCAAACTGAGATAAAGTTAATTCGAAAATTTGTCCTCTGATCATTATTCGTTTCCCATGTGCCAAACAACCCCTAGTTACTCGGTCAACCTCTGGTCAGAGCTTCTACAGAGACGAGTAAACGTTGGCCCCGTTGGGCACCAGATGAATAGCTAAGTAGATAGTTCAGCAACGAGATGACAGATTTGCCCATAACAATATTGTTATCTGGCACTATGCACAGCATCTTATGTACAGCCAGAAGGTTGTTACGAATCTTATCCTCTTATATATTTACATTTTTTGGATATGTATGCATATTCACAATCACTACAGTGTCCCCCTCTGAATTTATAAACAGATACAGTAACAACAAAAGCGACACAAGAAGGGTAGCAAACAGAACTGTAGCATGGACTCAACTAGCTTTCCCAAGTTAGAAGTTCTCCTCTGGCTTTAAGAAACTGTGATGTTCCAACAGGGTCATCTCCCCACCAGCTGCTGCATCAAACTGGCATCGGTAGAAACTGCATTTCCAATTTATCAAAGCATTAATAGTTGAACTTCCAAAGAAGCGATCCACTAGTCGCAAAAGTTGGGACAAAGTTGAAAAAGAAATAGTGACACGGTCCCACCAGGATTCTTCCTGGAAGTACTTAGACTAACAACCTTACCTGCCATCCATGCCAAGAATCACAACAGTATTCTTTTGGTGGCCAAAGGCCACAATGTGCTGCAGACCTTCTGGCAAGCGGAACTGCGCCACAGACCACTCAGAGCTGAAATACTTTGGTAGCACACCTGTGTGGCAAAACACCACAAAGGTAACTGTTAATAAGCTTCGAATATTGAGTTATTGACAAACTTTCGAACTAATTCTTCTGCGCTGTCTCCAAAAAATTGTCAGTCCTGAGTCTATTAGCAACAAAAATACAAAAACCCAAAGACCTATTCAGACTGTTTGAACTAAGAAAGATGTGTACTCTATTCGCAACCGTAGAGTATACATCTGTTTTTTTTGTTTTATTCTCAAAAGAAAAGAAAGATGTGTATTCTAGTGAATTGTTAAACCCTACACAAGGTATAACCCATTGATTTTAAAAGATAACTATCGAGGAACTTCATTTCCTAGGCTCTAGTGGGCAAGTAGCTGGCTGATCACTAGGGGTTGTAGGACATTTTCCAAAGATAGGGAAGCTTCCGATACCAAAGGGGAACTTAAAGCCAAGACCATAAATATGTTTCCATCCATATCATTCATATTTCTTTTATTTAGCTTTAACTACACTCTGAAGCCATCTATTTCTCCAATTTTACAGGAATATATGCCATGAGATGCAAAGCAGAAAGATAATCAGTAACCACTACCAGAGCTGGAAGAGTGATTCCACACATTGTTTCTGAAGAAATTCCAGGAAATATCACTACACACGCAGATTGCTCACTTTTATCCTTTCCATACTGTTAATTTACGTGATCCACTAACTTGAAAACTTAAAAACTTTTTTTTTTTGGGATGAAGTAAGACACTTCCACTAAAAACTCAAAACTTTTTGATAGGGAACAATTTTAATTATTTATATAGGTCTGCAATACGCCCCCTCACATGCAACCTGAATTCCTTCTTTGTGGAAATTACATGGAAATATTCTTGTTAAATGAGTGCCGGTAAGACTCAAACCCACCTCGACTTACTCTCGGCTTACTCTAATACAACCTTCAATTGTGTGAACCACGTCATGTAAAAAGCTTAAGATGTTTGAAAGGGGACAGTTTCATTTATGTAGGTCGATAACAAATACTTTTAGTTTGATGCAGAGTAGAGTCTTCCTCTCATACTTCAATGCAAAATTATATTCTCTTGATTTATGATCAAGATGTTAACTGATATCACTGGTGCAGTCCTTACTCTAGGGAGCAAATGTTACCCTTTCTTTCTCCATGTCAAAATTAGAAAAGTTAGAACATCTTATCAGAGCTACGCGCACACATTGAAGCATCAGAAAGGCCTCCATAGAAGGATTTGATGCTCCTTTCTGAAAGAGTTTAACTGCATGTAGTCGATTATACAAAACGAGGCTTGCACATCATGGAGTTCTCTGAATAACTAAGCTCGCATTTAATGCTACAAATAGCATGCACTTCCTCAAGAAGATTTGCATTTAAAATCACGTAACTAAAGAGAAGAATATCACAGGCTCGTTACCTCTAATGAAGGAGAGATGAGACACAGCTGATGGAGATGTAGCGTTTGACTCAGATGCCCCTCTTGGTTTATCAACTCCTAAAGCTGCTGAATCAACCTTTAGATTGAACACATGCACAGTTCCTTTATCACTGGAAACAGCTAGCCATTGTGCAGTTGAAGAAAAGGCAAGGCTATAGATTTCTGCTCTATCTGCGCCTCTCCTGACCTGTATTAAACGAAAAGAACATGATTAAGATCAAAGACAAAAGTTCACACTCCATTTCCGAAGTGGCAGTTGTAAGCAATAACACACCAGATACGTTCATTGGAAATCAAATGGCATTCAAATCTTCAGTGAAGTGGTATCACAAAAAGGCATAAGCAATTCATGTACAGATTATGTCTGATGCAGAGTCTCAATTATTTGACATAATTGTCAGTCCTTCAAAAGAGGAAGGGACAATAAGCATTTGACAGGACAGACTAATATTTTGATCGTGTTTCATGTATGAATACTGTAACAAGCACCAACTAGGACATCAACCACCGTTTCATCTCTTTCATACTTTTTAGGGAGACTGGTTATGAAGTTATCCCCAATTTTTCTCAAGTACATGGAGGCAACTTTCGTCGACATATATGAAGACGGAAACATCAATTCCCGGAAAGCCTTACATTGTCATGCAAATCATTTGGTTTTACCAAAACAAGCAGCTACTGAGGCAAACTGATTCTCTAGCAAACTAGAAAATGCATCTCTTTGCAATTCTATTACATATTAATGCGATATACAAATTATCGAGACCATAAAGCTAAATCTTTACACCACAAGAAATGAAAGGAAAACTGGTTCTCTAGAAAACTAGAAGATACATTGTCTTTGCAATTTTATTCACGCATTAAATCCAAATTTAAATTATCATGACACTTAGAAACTACCTTCTTGAAATAAAATCAAGTTAAATCCACTTCATCTCTATCTTAGCACTTCTATACCCTACCAAAAATTATCCAGATAAAACATTTTCTTAGACATTTTCCATGAAAAACAGTTTTCTCTATACCCAACACACCCTGGATTACTTCTTGCTCTACGGGGAATTTGGCGTCACCATATTGACCATGTAAATAAAACAATTTAAAAAAGTATGACAATTAATTCAGAGTAAGTGTATACCTCTTGGACCAAAGATCCATCTAAAGTGTTGAACACTCTGACAAGAGTACCCTTACTGCTAGCAGTAGCCAGTAACCTCCCATCATTTGTGAGCGCAAAACACACAATCCTCGAGTCATGTGCCATTATAAACTTGGTCCTCTTCGACGCGTAATGCTCCACTCTCACCTGACCCTTCTGCAGCCCCGGACAAACCAGAACCATCGATCCCGATACCTGTGACACCTCACACAAACCCTTGGGATTTGCCACCGTCTCAATCTGATGTAACAGCTTCAAATCCGCAAAGTTGTAAACAAATATCTTCTGAGCTAAAACAACCACAATTCTATCCCTTCTTAGCCTCACGGATTTCACCTCGGATCGAAACGACAGCTCGCCGATGCACCTGGATTGATGATCATCCCATATCATCACCTTGTTTAAGGGATATTGAGGTTCCGGGCCACCTCCAACCAACGCCAGAATATTGCACCGAAAAAGCATCTGAACAACACAAATTCCACCTCCGCCATTAGCATTACCGGCAAAATCGCGGCGGAAAATCTCGCGAAGCGGGTCGCAGTTGTAGATCCGGAACCCGCGATCGGTGCCCGCCGCAAAGCAACCGTGATCCTGGTTGAAGGAGAGGTAGAGGATATTCGGTGTAGAAGAATCAACGGGAAGAGAATTTGAAGTAGGATTAGGGTTAATATTTTGTACGGTAGTAGTAGTAGTAGCGGCGGCAGCAGGGGAGGTAACGGAGGTTTCAGCGCGGTGTTCAGCATCATCAGCTGTGGCGGCAGTGATGGCGGAGGAGATATCGGAGAGGTCAGAGAGAGAGGAACGATCACCGGATTCTAGAGCTTGAGGTGAATTTTCCGACATGTGAGGGGAAACGAAAGGGTTGGAATCGGACCAAGGGGAGGAGGAAGGGAGGGTAGAGGTCATGGGGAAAAGGCCGAGAACGGTTGTAGATGGCGGAGGAATTGCGTGCTACGGTGGAGAGAGAGATAGAGGATGAGAATGAATGATTGCAAGTGTAAGGTAGAAGAGAAGTTACAGAAGGTTCCTTTTGCTTTAACTTGGGAGTTAGAGACATTCTAGTGCTGCTCTTTTGTTTTGTTTTACAGCTTGTTTGATGTTGTATCCTATTGTATTGTTATCCTAAAATAATATTTGTTTTATTAAAATTAATTATATTAAAATTAATTATATTATACTGTTAAATTTATTGTTTCGAAACAATAAAAGTACTATTTTTTTTAAACAATCGATTTGGTGTGGTGGGATTGTTTCCTATTTTTCTTTTCAATTATGCCATAATTTATTATTCCATAATTCTATTTTACCCTTTAACTTTTTTTCTATTTTAACTCCAAATCTCCGATCTATAACCTACTTTATTTGTTTCAAAAACTTCTGCCGCCAACGTTAAAGGTATTTGCAGCCTTCTATTTGATTTTTTCTCCTAATTTGCTTTTAACTCAATTTTAATTAGTTGTGTTCCTTTGTTTTACCTTCTTCTATCTTGCTCCTTTGTACTGCTTTCTTAAGGCGTTTTGCCTTCTTCTGTTTTGTTTTTTAAAATTATTATTATGCAAATTTTTTGATAAATTTAATATTTAAACAATTGAAGGTATTTTAGTAAATTTATCAGTTACAGTATAATATGATACAGTCAAACCAAACAGCAAAATATAATTTAACAATAACAAACAATACAATCTATCCAAACATTGAATTCATAAAATGATACATTACAATACGATACAATACAATACAATACATTATAAAACGATGAGGAACAATGATCCAAACAGAGTGTTACTTCTTCTAGATTAGTAAGGTTTTATATATATATATATATATGTTTTAACTTAAATTATATTTATCAGTATTTAAAAAGTTGACGGATTTATTGTTTGTGTGATTGGAATTACGATTATGAACCACATTAATGTTTAATATGTTATGACGACTAAATCGAATAAAATATAATCCAATATACATTAACCATATTTTCATAACATTATACATTATTTTATTTACCTTTCCTGATAACTGTTATTTTAATCTGAATAATTATAAGATTTAACATTTTATTGCTTTTTTAATTAAAGTTCAATTATACTATGATAATATGCAAATCAAACACTGATAATCTATTCATATTCTATCTATATAGAATAGGAGAAGCAAATAAATGTTATTATGCCAAGTGTAACAACGAAAATTCAACAAGTGTCTATTTTAGGATAAAGTTAGTTAGGTTAGTTATTAATTAGTTACTCTTTTTTAATTTAAACCAAAAAATAATTAAATATCTATATATTTTTTGATAAATTATTATAAAAAAGAAAAATATATATAAATAAATAACTTCAATGTATAGATAAATAAAATGATAAAACTAATTTGTTTTTTTTTTTTTTTTGAGATGAGATAGTTTTTGAATAATAATTCATATGGTCATGTAACTAAATATATTATAATAGATAAAATTAAAGATAAAAACATAAACAGTAATTTCAAGAAATAAATAAAATATATATAAAGATATTTAACTTGTTAAGTGGTAATTTTTTAATTATAATAGGAGAAGCAAATCAATGTTACGATGCCAAGTGTCGCAATAAAAATTCAACAATGTCAATTTTGGACAAAATTAGTTAGGTTAGTTAATAATTAGTTACTCTTTTTTAATTTGAATTAAAAAATAATTAAATATTTGTATACGTAAGGAAACTATTATAAAAAAATAAAAATAAATAACTTCAATGCAAAGATATATAAAATAATAAAACTAATTTGTTTTTTGAGATGAGATAGTTTTTGAATAATAATTCATATGATCATGCTATATAGGTAAGGCCATATAACTAAAAATATTATAATAGATAAAACTAAAGATAAAACATAAACAAGATTTCAAGAAATCAATAAAATATATAAAGATATAATTTAACTTATAATGTTTTAATTTAATAAAAAAATTATTTTTTCATATTATACTAACGGGAAGAAGAATTTAATTTATTTTTTTATTAAAAATAATACAAAATCATAATTAATGCAATCATTAGTAGATTTATGACATATAATAAAAGAACTTCTCTGTTTAACCTTTGAAGATTCAACACTATCCATTTAGAAAAATAATATATAATATTCGTATTACAAATAAACACGTAATGAAAAAAAATCAAATATTGTAGAATAAACACTGATGTATGAAAAGGATAGAAGAATTTAATTTAAATATTTTAATTAAAAATAATACAAAAATCATAATTATTGCAATCATTAGTAAAAAAATTACTTTATTAAAATTTTAGTAAAATACAAAATGAGAAAACTAATCAAATATAATAGTAGAAAAGAATTTTAACGACCCGAGCGGTCCTTTTGCTTTCTAGATCTCCGTTCCCCTAATTAAGACTCCTCGTATGCGCTTTTACTATTTTATGACTTGCGGGGATGGTTAGTTCGGGTTTGGAAGGGTTCGGGTTGAAATCAGAACACTTAGTTCCTTAATATTGGCTTAAAATGGTTAAGTTTGACTTGAGTCAATGTTTTGAGTAAACGACTTCTGAACTGGGATTTGACGGTCCCAATAGGTTCTTATGATTATTTTCGACTTAGGCTTATGTTCGGATCAGGTTTCGGATGACCCGTGATGATTCTTATTCGACCGAGTTCTAGCTAGAAACGTTTTCAGCACTTAATGTTGAAAGTTGGCGCATTGAAGGTTTTTAAGCTTTTTAAGTTTGGTTCGGAGTAGGTTTTTGTGATATCGAGGTCCGTTTGGGATTTCGAGCCTGTGAATAGTTTCGTATGATGATTTAAGACTTGCACGCAAAATTTGGCGTCATTCCGAGTTGATTTGATAGGAATCGGACGCGCGAAACTATTTTTAGAAGTTTTTGAATTTCATAATTTGATTCATGCGCTTGGGCGTTCGATTCGTATTTCTAGATGTTATTTCGGAGTTTCGATTGCGCAAGCGGGTCCGTGTTATGTTGTTGGATGTGTAAGTGTGATTGGATGGGTCCCGGGGGCCCCAGATGCGAAACGGATTGGAATCGGATTCGAAAATTTTGGCATGGGGGACTACTGGTGCTCCAGTTCTGGTGCGCACCTGCGTGATTTTGGTCGCAGGTGCGAGCTCGTAGAAGTGAGCCTGTGATCGCAAAAGCAGCCCAGGTGAGTGGCCAGTGGTCCACAGAAGCGGAGAAGTTCCGCAGAAGCGAGCTCGCTTCTGCGATGATGGGGCCGCAGATGGGAAGTAAGGCCAGCCAGGCGTGGGTTGCAGGTTTGACAGGCTTTCCGCAGAAGCGAAAACCCGTCTGCAGAAGCGAAAAGAGGCATCCTGGGCTAGGACCACACCTGCAATGGATTTTCCGTAGGTGCAGCGTCGCAGGTGCGACCCAAGGTCCGCAGATTGGAGAGGGATTTCCATAAATATCCTAAGGGAAGTAACTTCCACCTATTTCCAAGTTAATTATACGGGTTTTAGGTAGATTAAACATGGAAAGATTGTGAAAACTTGTAGGATTCATGAAGAAGCTAGGGTTTTGGTAAAAATGGAATTTGATCACGAAAATGATTATGGAATTGGGTAGAAATTACATATTTGAGTTTGTGAGGTTATGGGTAACATTTATCTTCGAAATTTTCGGAATCCGGGCATGTGGGCCCTGGGGTGAATTTTAGGAATCTTCCCATTTGGGTTGGGTAATTTCTCTAATAGCTAAATTATGTACTTGTGAGTGTATATTGATTTAATTTATATAATAGTTGGCTAGCTTCGGATTGTTCGGCACCAAGTTGGGGCTTTAGAGTGAATTTGTAGGCCGAAAAGTGAGCTTTGGGACGACGTAAGTCTCTTGACTAACCTTGTAAGAGGGAATTTACCCCATAGGTGTTTTAAATTACTATTTGCTTCTACTTGTGGGGGCTACGTACGCACGAGGTGACGAGAGTCCGTGTGTAGCTACAAATCATGCTCAAGTCCGGGTAGTTTTAGGACCCAAATCATGAAATACTTGTATTGTTCGCACTTTACTTGTTAACTTAAGTGCCTAAATTATATTGAAACTTGATAAAGGATTCGTAAAGACTGAATTTCACTTACTTTGAGTTTAGGCGGGTTACTTGACTGTTAATAGAAATTGTGCCTCCTTGTGTATTAGTCTTGTGATAACTTTTAAATTGGATGTTCATAGAGTATTCTCTCTTCTTGTGGAGCGGGTCGAACGCCTCGGCAGTATTTTAGATGCATCTATGGTTCGTGCCGTTCGACCCTCGGCAGTGTACACATTATTCTGGATCAGACAGTACGACCTCAGCGTAAATCGTGCGTGATAATGCTTGGAGCCCGAATACACTTGATATTATTTTTATGACTTGAGAGGTCTAAATTTTTATAATGGCCTAAAATTGTTGAAGTTAGCATGTGTCAGTTCGAGATTTTTAAATTGACTATCAGTTAAAGAACCATTTATTCTTTGCTGGTTATTGTGTTATTATTATTATTCATGTATTCCATGTCTATCTGGAATATTTGTATTTTTATTGTTGGCCCGTTGTAAGTGTCGATGTCGACCCCTCATCACTACTTCTTCGAGGTTAGACTGGATACTTACTGGGTACATGTTGTTTATGTACTCGCACTACACTTCTGCACTAGTCGTGCATGATCTGAGGCAGGTGCATTTGACAGTCATTCAAGGGCGCACCCTTATTACCCCGAGGCATAGTGGTGAGCTACTTTCTGAGTCCGTTCTGCAGCACCTGTAGTCTCTCTTTTGTATTTACTTTCTGTCTATCTTATTTCAGACAATAACATATGTGTTTTATATTCTACTAGTTGCTCATACACTTGTGAAACCGGGTCTTGGGGACATGCTAGTAGACACTTTATGGTTTTGGATATTTATTTCATCATATCTTGCTCTTTCATTGGTTCACGCCTTACTTTACTACAATTTTCCACTTCTCGTTTACTTAATAAATAAAAATCAATTACTTTGAAATTAATAAAAAAATAAATACATGGCTAGTTCCTTGTTGGCTTGCCTAGCGACGATGTTGGGCGCCAT